TTGGTGGGTTGATTCCATTTGGTTCTGGTTTGTCATACTTCACAATCTCAATAAGTCGCATGTGCACTGTGTACCCCCCGCCCCCTTCGCTCCTGCTTGTGCCCATGAAGCTGCCTGATCATCGGGTTACGTAATGGTGTAATTAAGGGAAGTTTTCCCTACCATAGAGACTGCTTTGAAAGTCTGAGACTGGCAGTAAAGTCGGCGTTTAGAACCACGTTAAAGTTTTGCTGTATGCATGAAGACAGGAAGCTGGGTTGCGAAAGAAGAATAGCCATCGTACCAACAATCTTGCCATCTTTGACAACCACGGCTCCATACGGACCACCATGTCCCTTGAATGCTCCTTCCGCGCTGAGCACAATCGCCCGAGACATAAATCGTTCCTTTTCTTCTTTTGTAGGAGCGTATGTAGACATCTCTAGCTACTTCTACAGGTCTTAAAATGAGCAATTTAGCAATCAACGGTTTAAGGGTAAACACCGTTACGACTTCAGCTGATTTTCACCTGACCTCCGTGACCTACACGCGATTTGTCTCCGTTAGGTCCCAGTTTCCCAATTGAATAAAACTGTCGATTTGAAGAGCATGTCACGCGGTAAGGTATTTTTCTTACTAACGGGGAATTATCTCGGTAACATCACGTTGTCATGCCAAACGAAGTAGATCTGTAGAATTTCACAGGAATATGTGGAAAACTGATGAAGGAAGGAGCTCCCGAAGTGATGCGGAGCACGACAGAGGAATGCTGCCCAAAGGAATCAACTGCGAGACGTAGGTCTTGATGTTGTACAAACTTTAAGGCTGGAAAGTTGCAATCAATCAATCAATCAATCAATAAATGAATAAATAAATAAATAAATAAATAAATAAATAAATAAATAAATAAATAAATAAATAAATAAATAAATAAATAAATAAATAATAATGATAAGAAAAATAAGCAGATGGACTGGTTACGAATTTCCAAGTACAGGTGAAATTTTTAGGGGCGTTCTGAGGTGAGGGAGTTAAGGTGATCTGGTCCATGTTGAGAGTTAAAAAAAATTGAAAGGATCTCTTGTTATTCCTGAGTACTCCTCTAAAGGCAAGTAGACATTGAGATAAAGCCTCTGTCAAATGAATCGAGAAAACATTATTTATTCAGATCTGTTTTTTTTTTAACAATTAAAAAAGTTCCTACCCTAAATTTATATTGACCCTTTAATCCCTATGAATGACTAGCATCTAATTTCTTCTTACAATATCACCACTGAATCACACTTTTAGTGTCACGAGAATAAAGGAAATGATCACAACTTAAAGAAACTCTTGATTGTTAGACAAATTCTGATTGTTAGACAAATTTTCCTTGTCAGCACCTTAGTAAATGTCTAAATAATATTTTATAACAGCCATATCAATTCAACCTTCACAACTCAATTTCTTGTGTCAGTCCTTTTTTTTTTTCCCTTGCATTAATCGTCCCACAATCATTCATCATGATCCAATGATGTATCATTGTCACTTGGTCATGCAATCACATAATACTTCACAAGTGACCACATTGCCACAGTGTGTGCAAGATGATGTTGCATTTCCATCAGTGTGTGTCATTTTTTTTGGTCACAGCAGATAATAAATCCATTTGGATCATTTGCCCATTTTTTAATGACATCATATGCCTCCTTGCTCCTGACTTGCTCTGCAGGGGTAGACCGCTGATCAATGGGTGTGGCAACAAATTGAAAAAGTGGTTCTAGGTCCATGTCACTCTTCGTGTCTTCCAGACGATTTCCATAATACACACGGTCAAACCTTGAAGTGAAAAGAAGCCACATGAAATAGTTTTGGAATACATGACCTGGTTCATAATCCCTGTCAGAGCCAGTCACTCTGTACATTAAGTTGAGTTTAATTACTCCTAATAGATACTTAATCTCATTTTTGGCCTGTATTGATCAAATGAAATATAAAGTTCTGTCTGACAGCTGTAGATTATTTGAACTTGACTTTGAAAAACAAAATGGACTAAGAAGTCACTGCACATTGACTGAAAATACCACCATGTGGCATGCTACTGGAAGCAGTTATAAGAAATGAAATGTTGATGTTTTTCAGTGAAGGATGTCACTTGCCTCCTTACCCCTGACTTGCTCTGCAGGTGTATAACACCGATCAGTAGGAATGGCAACATAGTAAAACAGTTAATCCCAGTAGAACACAATCTAAAACAGGTCTGATATTCAGGTCAATCACTCACCTGCAAAGCCAGATGGCTGAAGAGCACATTGCACAGGGTTCACAGCTTGTGTATATTTCACAGCCACTGAGATCAGTTGATCTAATATTCTTACAAGCTTGTCGAATGGCTGTCATTTCTCCATGAGCTGTTGGATCATAGTCAACTACCTCCCTGTTGTATCCTTCTCCTGAAAATAGCCAATTAAATGAATAATTTAACCCTTTACACCCCAACATCAGTATCCATCTTCTCCATACTCTTCTTTAGTTACATTTCCTAAAGTGCTGACATGGAGAATTTGTTTAACAATCAAGAACTTCTTTAGTTGGTGATCATTTCCTTTGTCCTTATGATCTTAACCCTTTAACTCCCATAAGTGACCAAGTAAGAATTTCTCCTTACAATATCAGTACAATATCAAGCAGACAAGTGATGAGAATAAAGAAAAATCTTAATTAGGGGATTATTGGTTGACCCAATACCAAATTCTCCAAACTAACATCACAAGAACTATATGACAGACTGTAAGGAGAATTAACAATGAGATCTTGGGAATTAAAGGGTTATTGATTGATTCAGGTGTGATACTGTTGCAGAAATAAGATGCTCGTCACTCTCAGGGATCAAAGGCTAAGAATAAATGTAAATAAGGAAGTAAGTGTACTGTACATTAAGTAGATTACAAATAAACAAGATGATGAAAGAAAGAAAGAAAGAAAGAAAGAAAGAAAGAAAGAAAGAAAGAAAGAGGAAACAGTTATGGGTTGATAGATGATAATGATATTTGTGCAAATAGATTATGAATGAATAACTAAAGAAAATATATGTCATGCCAGATGAATAGGGGGCATCACGAATTATCTTTTACTTTTATAGGTGGTCAGACTGAGGCCATTTAAACCACAGGCAAACTTCTAAGTTAATACCAAGATCACACCCACAACAAAATGCTTTTCCATGAGCATTATACTATTAACAGTAGCCCACAAGGGTCACATATAGTGTTGTTTATTTTTTTCGGCTTACACCGCCAGATCTCGAGTTATAACGCGAGATCTTGACTTATGTCACGAGATCTTTACTTAAAACGCGAGATCTCGCAGCTTAAAACACGAATTTTATTACAAGATCTTGACGTTTTATACCGCGGGATCTCGAGTTATATCTTACCATACATGACCGTAATGGGACACCATAATACAAAGAGCAAGTCGCAAAGCATTCTCATACTTTGTCTCTCACAGCTGTGTAGATCTGGTTTTGATCCGATCTGCTGAAAACTATTAAATTAAGTTACCAATAATTTTGCCATCTTTCACAATAACCGCCGCAAATGGACCACCATGCCCCTTAGATGGTCCTTCATCGCTGAGTTCGATTGCTCGACCCATAAATTTCTGTTTTTCTTCCTCTGTCGGTTTTTGAGACGACATTGAGCTGTACAGTTCTTCTGCATGAGAGTGTTTATGTCAGAATAATGAACTAGGATGGGGGGATCGGAGTTGGGCTCAGTAAGGGCATGTCAGGGCCATACGGTAACACAAGATTGGTCAGCGGTCGGCAATGAACTGCAGAAGAAGTAAAAGATGGGCCAGAGGAAAAATGAAAAATAGACAGTCAAAGACGGCATGTGGCTAATGGTATAGCACAATTTTCATAGCATTGCAAATAACTAGGGGTTGTATGGTCACGCTATTTTTTACATAATTTTTTGGAACTTTACTTTCTGGACCATTTATTACCCAGGAAGGGGTGGGAGACAGTTGGTACTCAAGGTACTGTATAAGGTGTAGATTGAAAAAATCATTGCTTATTTCCCCACAACCCACACATTTTAACTTTATTTGTACAATTCAGCTTTTTTCCTTTTTGCGAATTATTTTGATCTGGCCTGCAGTTATAGTTAGCAGCCACTTATCAATCTTGACTGTTTCAGAAATTGGAAAGAGATTTCGTTTTGTGTCGGTGTCATTGCGAAAGACAGAGGTTTTCTTGTTATTGTCTCTTACCGTAAATTGCGAGACGAAACGAAATGAAAAACTGTAATTTGTGAAATTAACTCAAACTCGGTGATTTGCAAAAGGGGAATACGAAATTTATGAACTAGAAATCGGTTTTTCTCGAAAAAGGTAATTCTGTAATTTGCACTTTTGTGGAATCAATGCACTAGCTATGTGAAAGAGAAATGACGCCATAAAGCCACCCCTCCCTGCGTAATAATTGTCTCCCACCCCTCCCAAAGTAATAACAGTCTGCTTCCCACCCGTGCCTGAGTACTGATAGACTGTATATTGTATCCCATCCCTCTCTGAGTGCTAATGGTCTGCCTCTCCCCTCTCTGATAGTAGATAAAATGGTCCAAAAAAAGAAGTCCAAAAAAGAAAAAAGGTCCAAAAATGATCGTCCAAAAAAAATAGTCCAATGGTCCAAGTGTCCAATGGTCCAGTCCATGCGTCATTCTATGTCATTACTTACCTTGTTGCACTTTTCTTTAGGAGTGAAGATACACTTTAGCCGCTTTTCCTATTCTGTTCTCCATACCTGATCAGACTTAAACCTGTTCAGAAAAATGGAATAAAACTTATTTAGTGCCCATAAAGTACTTGTTATTGAAATGAGTGCAAGGTAATTAACAGCGCCGACGCGACATCTTGTAAATTGATGAAAACCTATTGTATGCTATGCAAACAGTTTAGTGAGAAGTCGCCTGACACAATAACCACAAATTAACACATAATCAACAGACAAGGAGCACAAACGATCTGGTATTCCACTCAAGACGCGCTGACATGGATAAAGCACAAGCTTGCGGCGATGGAGCGAAGAAACCAATTTTGGTCAAACTTGTGCTTGTGGGAAAAGTTGGTGTTGGAAAATCAGGTAGAACTAAGCATAACAGTCTGTCCTCTGTCCAATGTGTTTAATTTTCACGCATTTTTCAACACATATACTTAAAGTTATGTGCTTTGTTATTCTTCATATCTTTTGTCCCTTTTGCACACTCTCTTGTTAGCTTAAGTAACAATATTTTGCGGCGAAAGCTCCGTACATGTATATTAACCTAGCTGGTTACAGTACGTTTGAATTCCGTTTGAATTTCTTTCCAGCAATGATCGTGAGATTTCTAACTAAGAGATTCATAGGAGAGTATGACCCCAACGTCGGTACGTATGTAGCTCTAACTCTGTTTATTTTACAAGTCCTACAACCTTCACAAGTAACCGACAATTCATAAGAAAAAGCCTCTAATGGAACAACCAAGAATTTGTGTTTACACATGCAATCACCAACGCGAAGCTGTCATGGCCGGCAAGCAAGCCATTGAATTTCCAATTTTTGGCTCGCGCGATGCTCGAGCTATCTTCAAATTCTGGAGAAACAAGATTTTCTTTCATTTAGTCTTTTGACTTGTGCCGAAAGAGAAAAAAGAATTAACATGCATTAGCCGAGGCTTCTTTTATCAATATTTATCGGGTATTAGTAGCACCTTTGTTTAATGTTAGAGGTCAACTTAAATCCATTCAGTGTCGGATCATGACGCTCTTCGGGTACATCAAATGATTAAATCGACTTGGTCATCGGTTTTCTACCTTAAAATGACTGAATGTATCTTATTTTTACAGAACATCTGCATAATTTGTCGTAATCTTACGAAACACTTTTCACAGCTAAATTTTAACCGGATTGATTATGAGGTTATTACATTTTGTTATGGTACGATGTTTATATTCAGGCGGTGATAACCATTTCTCAATTCCGTGTTAAGCCGAGATAAGTATTGTTGTACTAGAATTTCATGAAAATTAATTCTTTCCTTCTGTTTGAATATGATGATGGCTAGTTAGGAGTTATCTCGCACAGTTGACATTCGCAGTAGTACTTTGTGTAATTTTTTTTTGTCCAGCAATGATATTCAAAAGATTTGCTGGACGAGAATTCTGAATGTTTAAAGCCAGAAAACTTGAAATTTGATTTGGTCCAAATTTGCAGCGGGGTTCTGTTAAGCCAATTGATTTCATAGCCATAAAACCATTCGACAGATACATGGTTAATGTATCGAGTGAATAAATAAACAATATAGATTTGGTCCCATTCAACAGCCATCGATAAGGTTTATCACTTGCTAAATCGGCGGATCTTTAATCAGCTTAAATGTGCTTATCACGATTCAGTCTTATCGAGGGTTCGTTGGAAAGATGTGTTCTGTTCCCTCGACGTAAAACTGATTGACAATGTAAGCCAGGTAAGGAAGGAAAGTTCTAACCCTATGGCGTATACGCCTCCATTATCGCTTTTGTATTGCACCAGGGCACTTGTTAAGTGAACGATTTGCTTAAATAATAATCAATTACGTGCAGTTTCGTTATATAATCGCTCCAAATGGGTTTATCTGAATGGTAGGCCTTTAACGCCTGTTTTTCTTTCCTGCAAATTATTGTTCAGTGGGCGTGCGTGTTTTTTCATTTTCCAAATTTCTTTAGGTTCAATATATCACCATCATACTAGACTGGAAAATCAAGATGTCCGTGTGGAGATCCTGGAGTCTGGAGGCAAGGTATGGAGTGACAAATAGAACACTTGTGCGTGCGCGCCGTGCTGTAGCAGTCGTTTTACAGAGAAAATGACCAGTAAAAATGTAGCCTTTTCCAGGCAAACCTCCCTGACCTCTTGCTGGCATTCTTGGTACCCATTTACGCTCTTTCTTCTCGTTCAATTATTTTCTCGTCTCTACTAATTGAGACCATCAAGGAAAAGTGCAAGCGAGAATATATGGAATATTTTGAGAAAGAAGAGTAGTAAATTTATAGTGTGAGGGACGAATGGAAAAAAAAAAATTTTTTTAAAAAATCTGGGTACTTAAGAAGGCGTGTGTTTATAATCCTACGATTGTAGCAGTGTGCTATGACACCGATCTTCTTAATGCCTTCTTTTAATGGTGCATCTAATTAAAATTATTTCTAAAAATGAGAGTGTGATTTTTTGACCCTCATCCTATGATAATGCACTGAGAACGTTCGGAAAGGTCCTTTGAAAGCTGTTATTATTACTATTAGTGTAATAATTGTTAATAGTACTATCGTTATTTAAAAATGTTTGAAGCGTTTGCTTCAAGGGCAATTGTGCTCGCGCTCAGTTAAATTAACTACACTGGCCGTAGGTAAACTGATAAAAATAGAAAAATCGACGGACGAGATGTGATAAAATTGTAAATTGTTAAGAATCCCTTTGATAAGTTTGAACTCAGATAAATGATTTTAATTCAGTTCATTGGGGGAATTAACAGAATCATAATTATACAACCAAACTTTATACTTGTCTAAAAGAGATGATCACAGAGCCTACACGAGTGGGGCTGGTATCTGGATGCTAGTTAGCAGCTCAGTTACCCTTATGGGACAGTGTTTAATGAAACTGACACCCGTAATCGGTCAAATGGAACAGCGTACGTAAAGATAAACCAAAGGATCTAAATCCTGTTCCAGACGTTCAGTTAAGTAAACGAGGCGTGGCAGTAAACGGCGCGATACCAGGAGGGGAAAAATGAGGAGGCTTGGGTCGAGTCGGTTCCTTAACCGACCCGATCCAAACCTCCCAGGTTTTTTTTCACTCCTCCGCTGCTACTGCACCGTTCATTATTTCGCTTTGTTTACTAAATGAAACAGGCTTCGTAATCTAAAACTTGATAATCGTTTTCTCATGGTTGATATAGGACTATATTGAGAAAAATGACGTCCATGCTCTGTGGGGAGACGCGTTTGTTCTGGTTTATGCAGTGGACGATCGAACAAGCTTTGAAGAACTTACTGCTGTTAGGAATCATCTGGAAAAAGTGCGAGAAGCTGACCATCCTGTTCTGGTGTTGGTTGGAAATAAGAGAGAAGTAGGGAGTGACCGAGTTGAAGTGTCGAAACAAGATGGAATTCAGCTTGCTGAAAAATTGAACTGTTTGGCCTTTCACGAGGTTTCCACGAAGGCGAGCTATCAAGACATCGAATTCGTGTTTATAGAAGCAATTCGAGAGACAATGAAGTACAAAATGACTCAACGGGTTCTGAACGGGGCAAGGAGATCATCTCACAGCAAAATTATGGAAATGGTTGAGAAGAACGTGAGTCGAAACAGGGCCATGTCAAGTGTTAAGGAGACCATAGACGAGTATTGCGCTACACGAACTGAGGAGCTCACCCGGGATTTGTCACGCGATCGGAGCAGCACCTTTACATGATATGCATAGATCGAATAATGTAAGTTTGCTCATGATTTGCTGCGTTACTGGTAGAGATCAGGAGCATCACCAGTAAGGAAAAAAGCTAGATGAGTGAGCAAGTTTTGACAACATATTTCAAGTTTCAAATCTTGCAGGTATTGAAGTTGATTTGTCCAGAAGATTGCGTTTGATGAGTTATGTGATTGTTGGGAATTGATTTAGCCGTCAATAACCCGCCCAATGGACCCGAAAATGTTTGGGTGTGAAATAGGAGAAAAAGTCTTATTCTAGAAATCACTGCGTTCCGGGAACTCAAGATGCATGCTGCATTAAAACATTAAATGACTAACTACAGGAAAAAAATGTACACGAACGATGATTAGAAGAAACAGTTTAAAAAATTGAATGAGGTAATGCGATATATTAAGTATAGGCAGTCACTCGAAGATGTATTTTTCAAACATCCCCCCCCTTCCCTGACAAGTTTAACATACGGAATTATATATTTATACAGTGTTTTATTGGCACTTTTTTCTTTCAAAGACCAATTAATTACCAACTGTTTATAAATTCTATGCAAATTAACAAACCTAAAACGTTACTGTTCAAGTAAATAATTTTATTTACAACATTTTGTCTAACATGTCAGAATACCCTAGAGCCTTGTGTATTCTGGATTTGGTCTCTTGCTTTGTGCAGACTAAATTAATGCCTAGCATATAGACAAGAAAAGCATTATTAGTTCGTATTTCTGATAGAAATCTTTCTCTACCCTAGGTCTTTGGAATGGGAACGAGCCAAAAGAGGAAAGATTTACAGGAAGGAGAAGCGAAACACGTAGGCGTTCCCTTCGTCTTTTGCACACCCACTTCATTGAGCATGGAGATTTCTGAGTACTGCATAGAGCTAATTGCCCGGAAGGAGTTTCACTAAAGAATCTAACATATGAGCAATGGGGAAGGTTGCTGCAGATGAGTTTGTAAATCGTGCGCTCCCAAAAACTATGAACTGTGCAGACTAAGGTGGTGATAAAATTTCCAAGCTTGTCTTGTGGGGGATCTTTTTATAATTACTTCCGGCTACAGTTAAATTAGTAGCAGAAGAAAACTGAAAATATTAATACACGTTTATACACAGGTTATATCGATTCAGATCATAATCCACAAACTACGGTTTTCTTCATCCTCAAATGGGTGAAGCTCCATATTACATGTTTATACTGCATATTTCGCGTGGATTTTACTTGATCCTACGCGAGGTCCAAGTTCTTTGATTTTCAAACTCAAATGTCTAAATTTAAGAAGTGTCTATTTCCAGATATCTGAAGTTGTCTGGGTTGAGAATCGTATACAAGAGTCCTTTAAAAGCGAATCCTCTCGGATGCAATGAGGAAACTGTGTTGTTTTATATATTCCCTGTTATTTTCCTTATCATCCGTATAAATGCTACGTGCGTGGCTAAATTTCCCAGAGACATAAATTCTGGGCGTTTCTTTCCAAGCCAAGCTGATTAACAGGCAACAGCCTGTGTAGACTTTCTTCTAAAAGGCATTGTCTTCAATCCTTTGACCTTTGCCCAAGACGACGGAGACTTCATTTCTTTATGTTGAGAAATCATGGGGGTCGGGGAGTGAGCGGTGGTAATTGTGCCAGCTGGATCTTGCGAAGGATGCGCGTTTAAATATTGTCTCAAGATCTCATTAAACATGTTTACTGTTTCAGCAAAACTTTCGGAAATTGTTATCTCGAAGAAACCACAGTTGAGGGAATAGGTGAGTCTTGAGCCGTCTGTCTCGCGAACGGTTCTGAAGTGTTCCAAATCGCGCTTAGTTCCCGCGATAATTATACTGCTGGAGTCCAGAGTTCTGTAACGTCTTATGTACTTGACGATCTTACCGGCTTCTTGAAAACTGGCGCGGTCTGTGATGGAGTAAAGGACAAGGAAGATGTCTGCGTACCCAATGATGTTCTCAAGCTTCTCTTCCGAGTTCTAAAAAAAATGAAGGGAGTAGTCAATCTTTGTCCTTCCCACCCCTCTCTCTCTCTCTCCCTTGTTCTTGCCTAGGGAGTCTGGAGACGAGGTATCCTCTCATGCAGTTCTGTGTAATTAACTGGAAGATTTACCTTTCCTGCTGTGTCCAAAATGTCCAGTGCAACATATTCTCCATCCACGTCGATGTGGTGTCTATTGGTTGTTTCTGTGAAAAGAACCAACAAGCTATTACAACGCAGACGTTTTACAGAGTTTATCAGTTTTCTTGAATCTTCGTACAGTGGTTATTGCAGCTACTTCAGACTAACGTGTCTTTTCCCGATAAGCTAGCGCTTGTTGCGAGATTGGTGAGAAGGACGTGTATCTTTTTTAGAAACAGAATTTTGATTGTTGACACTTTCAGCTTTCGCAAGAAAGCTTTTAAGTTCAGTCTGGCCTGTTAAGGAAAGCGAAACCTATTAAAACGATCCTTATCGAAAAGCGGAAGGTGGTTCAGTCTGGGTGATTCATTAAGTGGGATTATTTACCGATCAAGACCTCTTGGTTATGCATCTAATATAACCAGTAAAAAATCAAATTCAGACATGACATGAAATTGCAAAACTTGATGGAAGAACCGTTTTCAGATGAGCAGCTGTCTTAAGAAGCGGCAGGAATATTCTTCTGATTTGCTAGAAACACTTCAAAACGACCGAGTTATTCAGCGTAGGTGGAAACTTGCCGTCAAAATATTTTGAACCGTTGATGCGTTGCCAGTACAACAGAGGAGGAACATAAATTAATAAACAAATTAAGTTGGTAACAAACAGCTTCAGTTGCTTCGAGGCAAAGTTTACATCAAAGCCTTAATTTCAATCTATGCGAATTTTTGCAACTCACAGTATAACTGCCACTTCTATGTGAAAATTGAAATTTTTTTTAGAGACAAAACCAGATTTTCCCTTCAACATGTGCAGTTCGCTCACATCACGTTCTCAAAATATGAATGCACGTTGAAAAGGAAAATATGGCACAGAGTTTCATAAATTTACTCGAAGTTTCTTTTGTTTGTTGCGGGCTTGAACTGTATTGCTCACGAATTCGTCGCCGAAGCATAACTTTCCCGCGGAGAGACAACTTTGGACTACAATGGAGGCAGTTTCCTATTTAGGTAAAATTACGTCAATTGCGAATCTAGGGCGGCAAGTGATTAAATGACTCCTATGGTTATGCTAACATGACCAACGCGGCTTGAAATGATTTATACGTTTGCTCTGTGTACTGACGTATGAAGACGCGAGCAATGAAGCAAACGCTTTTAGCGAAAAACCCTGCGCACGAAAAGTAGCGAATTGATCATCGTAGATGAACTGCAAGTGAAGAAATTGTAAAAAGTAAAATAACTGTAAAAGAATACAGACTTAACAGGCACTAGCATGGTCCCGTGCCTTCAAGATATTCTGTTTTCTTGTGTTCTGTTACGTGCTACGAAGACATATGCCCTGCACGAGGAAAATTCTACTTCGCTATTACTTTCCGGAAAGAAATTTAATCACAGCCGTTGAAAGTTCGTTAACTATACCCCGTCTACATCAGATATGCTTTTAACCGGCAGGAAGAAGAAATGAACCAAAAATAAAATCACTTACTTACCTAACGTTTGGTCGTATTCTCCAATAAAACGCTTTGTTAGGAATCGTACCGTGAGAGCTACAATGTAAAAGTATTTTTTTTCCTCATCAGTTAGGATCATTATTGGAATTGATAAACAGAAAAAAAAACAATAAACACTGAGAAGTTCTCACTGTGAGCATACTGTTGAGGAAAACATCTAAATACATTGATAGTTCTTATCCATGATCAGCCCTCGGTTGAGGGAAAATGTGATTTTTGAGAGTCTGACGAAATTAAAAAGTGACAAACAAACGTAAACAGATGAACCGACAAAAAAATATTCATGATCTAATAATAACATGGTAATGAAGAAAATGTTTGAATTTTTATTGGATTGGTTAACCCGTTAATTTCATCAATAAGGGTAAAAGCGATCAATCAATAAACCTTTACATAAAGAGATCATGGAATCTTTGTTGGACTTTGTATATGCCCGGCTAAAATATCTAATCTTTGACTGAAAGGCAATTTTTCTTCCGCTTCTAAAGACTTGTTCCCGGAATTTAAAGCTACGATGCGTTTTTATCACTGATGCTTCTGTCCTAAATATTGTGGGAAGTTTGTTCATGCAGGAATCAAGGTGAAAATTGATTAGCGACAAATAACGGAAACAAACAAAGCTCAGACAATTGTTTTTGAACTTGTGTATGATGATGTGTACTTGAGGGCTCCATCGAGCAGGAAACCTCAAATATGAGATTGCCGTAAGTTCCGCCTGGTTTCTTATTTACAAATTGCGATCGTCTGTTCATTGCACATTAAAGAGTCAGTTTGTTAAGGTTAAATTTTACACAAGACACTTCAAAAGCAAACTTCAAAATCTGAACTCAGACTACTGCAACCGCGACCAAACTAGAAATTTCGAAACGTGTTTCCATTTTGAAGTCACCTTTCCATGTAATCTTCCAACCTGGGTCATTTGTAATCGCAGAAAAAAACAATTTTAAAAATTGTGGACAGTTTTGTTAAAAAAGCGAGCTTTTGCAAAGCATGTGTAACTTCACATTAACACTCAAATATACGTTGCGTGCTTCAACCTACCTGTCTTTCCGACGCCGTCTTGGCCCATCACGGCAATTCGGATGTTGCGCAGGTTAACTTGATTGCTATAACCGAGTTTTCGTCTCTGCTTCATGGCTTGCCTGCTAGCGGAGTCCTTGTCCAATGAATCTGAGAGAGGCACAGACCAGTGTTAACGACGTCTGCCTAAATTTAGCGAGTCGTCAACAGTCATTGTTTAATTGTGGCTTGCTGCCTATAGCCAGAGGCAATAAATTCTTGATCTCACGTTGCCCTTCTGAATTTGTCTGTAAATATTGCATGTTTTTAGCGGAATGCCTTAAAAAAAGTAAACAATTTAAGCTTCCAGAAACAACTGAAAATCACTTGAGAATAATTAAGTTATCAATTCGAGGACAACTGATATTTTTTTAAGTTATCTAAAGTTGTCTTCTGTCCAAAGAATATTTTGAAATTCTCTTGAATGCCCATCTCTGATAAGTCATTTAGCACTTGGTACGATAAGAATGGAGTCAATTACAATAAACCAAGTCGTCTTTTTGATTTTATCAATCTTAAGCTCTCCTGAATGAAAATTAACACACACGTAAAAGAATCAGAGAAAAATGTATTTTAAAATAATCCTTTTAAGAGTCCACCGCTTTCATTGACTTCCGCACTAAAACATCTTTCTAAATTACTACGGTTAGCAAGCATGGCGTAAACACCCTCACAATACTAGAGCTTGCTCGCAGGCTGAACAAACGTTGGTCTAGGTATGCATGCTATGTTACTCGATCATGATTTACAAACGACGGGGCAAGAGTTGACGATGAAATTTTCGCAATTGAAAATACCCTCGAGCTGTAAATGTATATATCTCTAAAGGAATGAAAACATCTAATTTACGTGAAGTCAGTGTATTAACGTGACCTGTCTCTGATGGTGATTGTATACGCGTGGTTGTGTCTCTAATTGTAATTGCACACACGTGGTTTACTAGCCAAACGTGTTTTGTAGTTCACATTTATTCAGAGAATAGGTGCGAGATTCAGTTTCCCTTACCACAAGCGGTCCAAGCTCCAGCTGTGAGATGATCATTTTCTGGCGAAATTGTAAGAGTTTGTAAAGGAGGCTAACCACAGAAGAGAAGCCCTCTTATGTAGTGATCGTCTCACAGCTGGAGCGTGGGGTGCCTGTGCCCTTACGATAATAAAAAACTCTGCTGGGTTTGACCTCGTCGGAAGATGAAATTAACAGCCACTCGCTGATAAAACGTGACCAGCGCCTCTAAAGGGACAAGGCAATAGATCGACAACGAGATGTAGAGTTCAACGAAAGCTCAGTTTATGGTTAGGCTTCGGTAAATATTCCTGTCTCTCTTCTGCGATAGGTTTGTCAATTAACTGTCGCTAGAAAGGTCCAAGCAATCATTATTGATCTTGCGGAGAGTTAAGAAATTTTCATTAAGGCTATTAAGGTAGCATCTCTCTCCACGATCGTACAGACCCCGTCAAAACTCGCGCGCGGATCGGTGAGGAGATTTACTAGAAGGCAGAATAAATTGAAATTGTTATCCTGCAATGAATTTGTCCATATCCAACACAAGTAAGATACTCAATATAAGGCAATCACCGAAAGTGGAGCAATGTGTTCCGATGTATCCATCCGTGGAACTTAACTGATAGAAACTGGTTATCTTCTACTCGCAAATTGTAATCCAAACTTGAACTTTTGTAGAAAGTAGGAGGAAAATTTTTTTGGGAAGCTGATATTAAGGGGGCTTTTCTGGAAAAATATGGGTCGAAAGGTAATAGCTCAAGAGCTGGAAGACGCGAAGGCCAGAATGAGGGAGACTTGCGTCAGACTTAAGAGCACTGTTACAAAATTTACAACGTTCTGTATGGCATTTAGGAACAAATGAAGATGGACAAAAATGAGCAATATCAGATGTCCCTTTTAAAACTATAGAATGAATATTTCAAACTGGCCAAATGCTTCAACAGCTCAGCATTCGAGTCATTCATGTCCTACCCAAATATACGTAGATTACTTGAGGTGAATGTATGAATGGAAAGCCGTACATAAGAGGGTTGTTTTCGTCGGTGACGGAGTTTCGATAATCTAAGAAACAGCCACGATCAAAGTCGACTGAATGATATGAAAATTGAATTGAAAAGTAATTTTACTTTCTTTAAGTCTGTCAGTAATGAAGTTGATTAATGAGGGCAGCCATTTGAAGCATGCAGTGCTCTTTGCAACTGAACATAATGCTTTTAATTGTTGAGTGGCGGTAATGAACGTCCTTCATGCAAATTAGACAATCGAATGAAAGCATTTGAACAGTACTTTCAAGGGGTTTCTTGTTTGTCACTCGGTCCAAAGTGTTTCTAGCTCTGTAAATCATTGTATTAAGCTTAAAAGTGTGTATTCAGACTGAGTCTTCCAGCAAGCATGTGCATTTAATGCAATGCTGTTTGTGTACATCTCGAAACTGAAGCCAATGGATCTTAAATGGTGCTACAAATAAAGGAAAATTATTCCACTTATTTGCGATCAGACTCCTTCAATGAGAGGAAAGAATCCAATGAGGTTTGCCTCGCTCTGAACTTGTAGCTCAGAGCGCATAAACTATTATACAGATGGCACTTGTTCAAACCCAGTCGAAGCCAGTATTTTCTGATGGTTCTTTTTTTTTCGCAGTTTACTTCATTAATTACTCGCTTAGATATAAAAGATATCCTTCGGTGCTAATCGACGTATTGGCTTATTAAAAGCATACCGTGAAGTAGCGCCAGCTTGGAAATTTCATCAGTGGTTTTACTTCTATGTCACATCGACGTGTAAGCAGTTCTAGTATCTCTAAATAAACAGATCAGGCAGCAAGAAGCAACAGAGATTTTCTTAAATAAGTGGTTCTCTGAATTCAGAAGTTCAACTTAGTCTTGCAATCACGTTACAATTGATTATTTCATTTCGTGGTTAACACGACGCGTCGACATTTCACAGAATCATCAGGAAAAAACCAAACTCTGTTTTTATATCATCGTCAGTTCTTTCAGGAGAATATTCTCTTGGTTCTGTCAGTCATTCCACGTTATTTTCGTCCGCGCTCCGACCTCCCGATATGTTATGAAATGCTGTTGCGGAATGAAAGTGTTTCTTCCTTCACAAATCGGTTTAAGTCCATAAAATTGGCATTCGCTAAGTTTTAGTTCGACCGGACCAAACATGACTTAAACGTGTAACGGAGCTTAGGAAATCAGGAGAAACTGTGACCTTATTTGCAAAGACTAGAAACTCTAACAATGGAAATCAAACAGTAACACATACGACAGAATTAGTTAAGGGACAGAACTTTCTGAAACTAAACAAGGAAAAGTGATTACGTAAAACAAAATTCTCTCTTTGAATTTTGGTGACATGTAATTACTATGGAACATGCTATTGCCGCTGCCGCTTCCTGAATGCACAAATTAATTTTAGAGTGGATTGAGTACCTCACTTCCTGTCGGACTTCCTCGCGAAAGAACTGTTTGCTTAGCTTTTCAGTTGTAAACAGCCGCAGCCGGATGCACGATGCTTGCAGTGCTTAAGTCTCCGTCTTACTCTGTAAGATGATTCCTTGGCTTTGAAACTTTACCTAACTCTGTAAGACGGTCTGAATTTTTGACGTTGACTGTCTCGTGACAAATTCCACTGCTCAGTTATAATCTATTTGCTTAGGAATCTAAGACGATCTATTTTTCGTTGGAGTGACATACGACCATATCACAGCTGTCATCACATTCATTTTTGCTCAATATTTTTCGGCTAAATAGTGTATTTTATGATAACAGAAATGTAGTTTAAGTATGTACTAATTAAATTAAACAAACTGTTAAATCAAAATACAAACACCTTAACAAAACTGAAGTAACAAGTCAAATTTTCAAATTGGCAGCAGTTTATCCACAACACTTCGTGATAAAGGTCTGCGTTTAGAGATGAATACACCAATAGACTAAATACATTTCGATCAGTTGTGAGCATTATTAGAGGTCCATAACCTTTACTGTTTTGGTTTCTAAATAAAGATTGTTTACCTAAGGCAAGTCGGCAGAACAGAAAAACAGGAAGCCTTCAGACAACGTTATAAATAAAAAAAATTATACTTTATATTCGCCTTCAGAACAAAAGAAAAAAAAACAGCGAAAACAAAAGATCTTGAAATCCCTTTCCCGACCGATCATGCAAGACCGTTTTCTTCCAGTGGGACTTAGTTAGTCAAGAGGAAAAGTTATATTCATGTTGACAGCCAATGCGATCTTTTTCTGCGGTCATTTCACTCCGAAAAGTGTGTTGGGTAAACTTCATCTATCATCAAATCTATAAACCAAGACTCAAGTCTCTAATAGCGAGTGTCAATATTGATTCATTCTTAAATTCGACGCCCTTTATCACATTTCAGAACCTCTGTTTAAAAAACCCTTGCTATTCACTGACACATTAATTTGACATTCCCTTGTCACCAGATCGCGACATAGTTTGCAATGCTTGGATTTCTGTGATCTGCGATCATGAGATGAGATGAACAACATTCATATACAGCTGCATTGCACTCATCAGGAACAGAGTAATTGTATCTGTTCTATAAACTGTGAGCCATAACGAAGAGTCGCTGTGCAATAATCATTCTGACAGCAAGCCTCCCACGTTAGGCAACTCCCTCCATTTCGTTCCCCTTGTGGGAGGGCACGGCTACTCATAGGCTATCCGATACCTTTATGTTATCAATGATTAAAAAGGGGATAACGAAGTCCGTAATGTTTCCAATTGAGATGTTAAAGTTTTAATTACTATCGCCCGTCAGTGCTTATTGTAATTAATTATAGAGGTGGAGCTTAAAATTTTCAGTACGTGATCGTATTGCCGTTTTTTTTTTTTTTAATTTTTTTTTTTCAAAAAACTGGGCTGATTTCCAAGTTTCAGCAAAAACGGAAAGATCGATTGCAACGGTTTATTGATATGACTTTAATTTAGTTAACCTGCGATGATCGCTTCGTCAAATGTTGCCTTATCGACAGGTCAATATGTAATTTATTTCATATGTACCACAGAAATCGCAACACATGGACATGGTGAGAAGTCAACGAGCACTCGGCATGTGGTCATTCCATCGAATTTTCCGA